ACATACACGCTGACACACATACACGCAGACACACACACACACACACACACATACACGCAGACACACACACATACACACAGACACACACACACACGCATACACGCAGACACACACACACACATACACGCAGACACACACATACACACACACACACACACACCTACACGCAGACACACACATACACGTACACACACACGCAGCAGCCGCAGTCGTAGTATTCACGTGTACAGTGTTTTGCACAACTCTTTCTTAACTTCCTGCTCCAGGTCCTTAAAACGTGTCAGTGTGACATTCAAAGAAAAACAACACGAAAACCAAAACATACACATTTCCCACAGACACAGAAGTTCCCTTTAATCTACTTTTTAGTTCCTGTTCCCGCAGTAATAAAAAATAGTTAATGTTTTACCTAAAAATGACAAACGTATGAGATGCAATGTTAAATATTAAATTAGTGGTTTTTGACTCCTTGACAAAGAGGTGTCTGGTTGGGGCTCCTTGTCATGCTTCATAAGAGTTGTTAGCAGTTCCACTAAATACAGATTTCTAAGATTTGAATAATTTACTAGCCTTCCCACACTTAAAGTTGTTAAAACTAGCCTCACCTCTACCAGCTACAACACTAAAATGCTGCTTACAAATCAGCATTAAAATTCTTATAATGTAATATATAGCCTAATAATATCAGTTATAGCCTGTTAGTTACTACAGGGGACATTTCTTAATGCAGATATTTATACATTTGATACTTTAAGTACATTTTGCTGATAATACTTACATATTTCTACTCAATTTTAAATGCAGAACTTTTATTTTTAATGAGTATTTCCACATAAATGTATTGTTAGTTATAAGTGGAGGGTCTGAACACCTCTTCCATCACTGAAAAGGTTACTGTCTCACAGTATGTGAGTATTTATGGAGTATGCATCAAATGCAAATATGCCGGTGCAGGTATATTTTAGGTGAAGTGAGACTATTCTTAAGCCTTGGAAATAAGCATTTAAAAAGGCAAAGATATGATTCTTTTAACACATTTTTTTTATTATGGGTCTAAACCTTTTACCCATTTAGCGTGTGCTATGAAACAAATGCAAAATACCAACAATCTACTTATCATTTACAAACAAGATTAAACATTGTGACTTTTTATGCAGTTGCTGTCAAATGATCATAACAAAGTGTTTTTATTCCCTTGAATTCTCCGGTGCACAATTCAGCTTCATGTAAAAAATAAAGGTTTATTACAATGTGTATGATAGTGTTTGGGAAGGACAAAACAACTTGGTTCAAGATTGAATAATTAAGGCTTTCATTACAAAGCCTACAATGCATTTTTTTTTAACAGAAATGTATGTAAACATTTTGAACACATGGCAGCCCTTTCCATACACTTCATAGATGCTACAAAATAAAACAGCAGTTCAAACAGTTCATATAATGGGTTAACTAAGAGATGTGTGTGTGTGTGTATTCGTGTGTCTGTTTGTGTACTTATGTAAACAATGTATGTCTGCCGATGTATTCAATCAGATGCCGGAGGTCGACTCTCAGCAAAGAGAGCTGATCTCGCTCTTGCTGCAGCCCCACTTGCAGCAGGCGTTGGACAGACCCACCACCACGTCCCGGCCCTTGCGGTCAGCCTTGCGAAGGGCTTCCAGGATCTCCTCGGTGATGAAAGAACGGGTCGGCCTTCTGAACACTCCCTCCTGGTTGTCTCTGGGTGTGAAGCTTAGATCTCTGTTCCTCTGGAGGAGACTGTCCACCACAGAGTTGGGACTCAAGCCCTCTGAGGACTCCTCCTGACGGGAGCTGAATGGGTCCTCTGAAACATCTAAATGCAGTAAAATGGGTAAATGAAGCATCAGAGAATACTCTATGCTTTTCATAAATTATAGTTTGTCCTTGTCTGTCACCTGTACAGTTATTACAAGAATTGCTGAAGATGGCATAAAGGAAGAAGAGAGTGTCATATAGTCCCAGGGACTTCTTTGGAGAAGACCCAAACCAATAGGATGTAGTATTAAACTAAGTTATTTCTTCAGAGGCTCAAAATAAATGTTACTTTCTAGCATTTTAAGTAAGTATAGCTCAACATAATACATCTAATGACAC